TGAAAGAGATTAAGAGTACGGTGAGATTGAGTGAGGAGAATATTAGTGTGTTGATATTAGATTAGAGATATAGGATAAAGAGTATTTGTTTATATACCACTGGATTGATAATACCATAGATAATATTAATATATAAAATTAAAATATTTTAATATTTAGTATTTTTTTAATATCATATATATTTTTTATTCTAAAAAATATAAATTTTGCATAAAAATTATTTAAAAATTCATTGATTCTCTTACTCAATTTATAATCCCAACTCCACCATCCGATTAATAGTCCTACCAATAAGGGGGATTACTAGTCTAAGGTGTTGTTTGTTTGGAGGGATTGGAGGGTAGAATAGGATTTATATCTATTGTTTGGTTTTCTAATTTTACTCCGAATTATTAGTCCCAAATGTATTCGACTATTGTGTCCCATAGGAGGGGTTGGGACACAAATGAGGAGATAAGGGAGAATATGTAATTAGGTGGTGAAATTACCATTTTGACCATCTACTATTTAATTATGTATTATATTTAGTAAAATTCACTAAAATTTAAATGTCTCAATTTAAAAATAAAATAATTTTATTTATTTTTATTGATGTTTTATTTATTTAATTTTTGTAAATTATTTTTTTATAGATATTTTATTTTAAAATTTTGTTTATATTTTATTTAATTTCATTATTTAAATTTTTATAGATATTTGAGAGGGTGATTTATGATCCGGTGTTGGGCCGAGGTAGCGACTGAGCAAGTTGAGAGCCCAGAAGTGTATTGGGCCGAGATGATCGACTGTTCACCCAGAGATGGGCTGTCAGAGCTTGGGCATTTAATCTAGCTAAAAATAATTAAAATATTAAAGATATGCTTAATATTATTGTTACTTATTAAATAATTAAAAATAGTAAAATAGTCATTTAAACATTTATCATTCTCCATAATATCCCAAACAAACATAAGATTCATATTCTATTCAACCAAATAGTCATTTCATATTATCTAATCCCATAACTAAACAAACATGAGATATATATCCTATCTAACCAAATAATCCCACGACTATGAATTCCAGGAGTACAATCCGATGGATTTTAATTCCCCCTTATTCAGTTCTTCCAAACAAATACAGTTAATTCCCCCACTCATGACCTCAATCAAATATTCTATAGGTAGGTCTCACAGACTATTAGTTTAATCCCCTCACTAAAGAGCCAAACAAACAGGGTTTGGGGTGGCCATTGTGATTTCTATAATTCGAACTATTCACATTTTACAATACATCAAGTAGAATATGCTTGTAAAAAATCAAGTTACAAATGTGAGTGGATGAATGAATAAACGATATTCGATTAACTTGATTTTTTGCAGGCATATTCTATTTGATGTATTTTTAAACTGTGAACAGTTTAAATTATCGAAATGAGTCCCAAAATGACCCCAAAAAAAAAAAAAAAAACATGGCCGAAATAATCACATAATGGGACTTACGTGAGTATTAAAAATAAAATGGGACTACCACTTTATGATTTTTGTTATTACATTATAATAAGAAATGATATTTTGTGATAATTTTTTTTATTGGTTTTGTTATTTGGAATCTGTTTTTTAAAAAAATATTAAAAATTAACAGTGAAAGAAATAGTTTTATTTTTTGGAAGAGCATAAATACTTTTTATCTTTTGAGGGAACAGAGATAATTATTAAAAATTAAAAAAAAATGTTTTTTATGTTTATTTTTGTCAAACTAATTTTATTTTTTTCAAAAAAAATAATTCTGAAAATCATTTCCAAAAAAATAAAATAAAAAATGCCCATAATATTTTATAATTTACATTATGAAATTTTGTATTAAAAACAAAAAGTTAAGAAAGCATATCATAAAATGTTCCGACACATATACCCAAAAAAAGAAAAAGAAAAGAAGAAGCACTCCTAATTCATCCTCAAGATTGTACTTAAACCACTTGTTCACTGTGGAGTAATCTTTATTCTTCTCCAGAGAGAGAGCTTAATCACAAACTAGTATGTGTTAATAGTGTTTAAAGTAAAGCCAATCTTAAACAAAGCAAAGAAACAAGCAAAACAGTCTCATTCATTACCAATGCTATCAGAACACACTGCTCCAGAAATGGAAACTTGTTTTGTTGTGTTTTCATTTTCTATTTGTGTTTTCAGATTCAAAACCATGAAAATTTGGAAAACAATCATCCTTTTAATATCATTTTCATTCTTGTGCTAAAATAGTTTTCAAAGGTTTGAAAATAACCTTTTGCTATTCTCAAAAAAACATTAAAAATTAGAAAACAAAAACTAAGTTGCGTTTGGTAGAATTTTTAAAATATGATTTGAGAGTATAAATTATATTTTGAGTTTGTGAATTTTAAAATTATGATTCGAGTGTGTAAAATTTGTTTGGTAAAAGAGTTTTGAAAAGAGTTTTGAATTAAATGAGAAATTTTTGATGTGACATATGATATTTGATACAAAAATTTACAATTCATAACCAAACATACAACTCAAAATTCTATTAAAAAACATAAATTTTTTTTAAAAATTCAAAAAATATTTTTTTCGAATATATAAAAATTAACATATGTCAATTGCAACAAAAAAAAAAAAAATTGCACTGTTTCGGTCAACCAGTGGGACGACCAGTTATGCCAAATTCGAAATTTTTTTTTTTGAAAAACGCACCCTACACAGTTTTCTGCAGAGTTTTGAAAATGGGATTTGAGAATTCGTTCCAAACATTATATTGAAATATGGGTGTAGAATCATTGTTTGGAAACATAACCAAACACAGCCAATATTTAAGCTTACAATCTCCAGATGGCGGACAATGTCAATGATATTACCTCAGACCTTTCATTAACCAAGGAAATTCCCAGATCAACACTGATTGGAAAACACAACAGCCATACTATTGAATACCCAATAGTAACATAAATCGAAGACCATGTTGAACAGACTCGACCAATTAAAATTTTCTAAGATTGATACAATCCCCACAAAATTAGCATAATGATAGATTTATGAGGACACATTTCAGTAATTTAAAATTGCTCAGTACCATTGAACAAGCAATCTCAGATAAGAACTAAACAACCTTCAACAATTAAAGAATCATAATGGTGACAAGTAAATGGTATGCTTTGCACAGTGACAAGTCACCACAAAGTAAATTCATTCACAACGGTATAGCATATAAACTTTGAGAAAGTAATTAGAGATAAACAACTCAAGGAAAGGTATTTCACAGGCTGACTTGCTTCTAATACATAAATAAATGATGGGCAAGTATATATCACATATGGAGTGCCAAAAATACAGTAGTGAAGGCAAGCTAATGAGTAATGAATGACACTCGTATTCCAAAATATTAGATTATGATTTAGAAAGCAAAATAAAAGAACAGAAAAAATATCACTTCTTGTCATTCCACTCATACTTTCTTGCTCACTGTTGACCCCTTATTTTGATCATCACCTTGACACACGACATTCTTCTTACATGAAATAGTGGACAATCTCATAATTAACACCACGACTATTATGTAGATTACAAGGACATATGTCAGCAACTAAAAAAGTAAAATGATGGCAATACAAGTTTCCTATCCTCAACCCCATCGTCATTTATTTGTTGATACTGTTGTTCAGCTATATAACACATCCACTTTGAATGTATGACTAGAAGTGTTTCATACTTGTAAGACTTCCCAGTTCCCACACCCCTCAATCGGTTCTAGGTTTAGGTTCAAAACATAACAATACTCAGAAACATAGTAGTAGGCCCTCGTTTTTTTTGACAAGCAGAAACATAATAGGCATATATGTGACTAGCCTTGATGTCCATTTGGAGACTAATTATATATTACTAAAACTCTTATTGCTCCCTTCCTCGCTACATTACCCAATCAATAAAGTGACTATAACAGTACTAATTTTAAGAATAAAGTGTAAAAACGTAATACCAGTTATGTAACATGAAAAAATACTGGCAAAAAAAAAAAAAAAAAAGACTACACACACAAAGTTCATTATCTTCAACAACATCAAACTCTATAGGTTGATAGAACAGTTGCAACCACATATACAAAGCCAATTAGAATTGTGACATAAATTTGTTGAACCGTCCAAGACTTTCCCCATTCCCTAATGAGTTCTAGATCCCCTTAACACATTCCCAGCATTAGGGAAACAGAGCAGATCTTCTTGACACCAGCCATGATTTCCATTTGGATATCATAATTATGTGGATCTGAATGGTAGCTTGAACCCACCCCACATGACCCAACCTAGAAAATGACTACATTCAAGATAGAACTATTTCTTAGTAAGTATATATCAAATGCAAACAGGAAATATAATCTAAACATAACCATATAGCATAACATTCCACCCATAAGCATTAGTTCAACAAATGAAATGAAGTTGTCAAAAAGCTTCAACCAGATTCATGGGCATAATCTAAACATAACCATATTGCATACCATTCCACCAATATACTAAGCATAGGTACCATGATTCAACCTAGAGCTAAGATGTTCATACTTCATAGTAGGCTAGAGAGTTAACACTAGATAAAAAACAACTCAAATTAACATTTGAGAAAACAGTGAGCGAAAATGTAGTGCATCACCGAAAAATGCTCCAGTTCAGCCTCTACGGCTGCCTTCTCCTCCTCGGATGAAGCACGACCATCCTCAGAATCAACTCCATCACAAGCACTCAGTTGCTTCTTCAGGACACCATTTGCTGCGTCAAGCAGAACCAAGCTCTCAGTGCAAGTATCCAAATGAAACGAGTCTGTGCCACCGCAAATTTCAAGAGTCTTAATCCTTTTGTTCGCAGGCTGATAGGATACAACCTTCTGGTTCCACATTTCCACAAGTAGCTCACCATTGTTCCTAAACCCAAGCACATTCGATACCTTCAACCAAACAAACAGAAAATTGCTTAACCCAACTCTCAACAACACCATATTCCTTCATAATCCAGACCTCACAATCCCTACTGGTACAAGGACCACGATTGTCATAGTGAAACACCGAAATCGAATCGCCATACACCGCAACAGACAAGTCCAGCGGAAATTCAGAAACCAACTTCTTGGGTAACCTCATCTCGCGAAAAACCTCACTACCCATATCAAACAACAGCACCACATTGCAGAATACACTGTTCTTGCTCTGACTATACACAACCCAATGCACAGCTCCATTGACAAAAGCTTTAGACCAGAAAAACTCAACCATGTTATGCCTAACAGTGGAAGCATTCACAGTCTTCCATTTCCCAGTACTGAGAGCATAAACCTCAACTTTAGGAGGAACCAAGTAATTCTCTCTCCCAGTCCCAGACAAATACACAACCCTCACAACCTTAGGGTCATTAGTCTGAGGATCGACACCGAACCCAAGAGCGAACATGTAAGGACCATAGTGATCGAAACAGAACTTGGGTTTTGGAAGGGTCACATACTTCCGAATCGAAGGGTTCCAGAGGATAATAGTGTAGGTGTAGCCAAAGCAATCGTCGGAGAGACAAATCAAGCCGTGAAAGCTACCGACGAGTCTGAAGTAGTTGTTGGAGCGAGGCTTGAAAGGGCAATGGAGGTCGATGAGCTCGGTGAATGGTTCGTCGTCGAGACGGAGAGAGTAGTGTTCTCTTCGTGGGTTGAGAGAAAAGTAGCGGAGGAGTTCGTGGCGGTGATGGGTTTGGGAAGGAGAAGTGGGATTGAGGTTGAATTTGAGGTGGGTTGTGATGAAATCAGGGGTGGAGATGAGAGAGCACCATGATTTGCATACGCATCTGAATTGGAGGAGGGTTTTGGCGGGGAGTCTGGAGAGGAGGTTGATTAGAACTGGGCGAGGGAAGTAGTCCGACATTTTTGGAGAGAGAGCAGAGTGAGGATGAGACAGACAGAGAGAGAGATTTAGGGTTTCTACAGGGGAGAGAGAGGATAAAACTCTAGCTAGTGAGTTGAACAGTAGAGAGAGTGAGACTGCAAGTGCAGTGGAGAGAGAGAGAGAGAGAGAGAGAGGAGTGGAGAGCAAGGAAATCAGGGAATTTGTCTGCTAGTGTGATTCACGGACAATTTGAAAAAGCTAGTAAAAAGGTGATTTTTAACTCTTTTTTTTTTTTAAGTTAATATAAAAAAGGTTATTTTTTATAAAAAAAAAAAGTAATTTTTTAAATATTTTTTACACATAAAAGAATAATTTTTTTTTTAAAAAAAGTAATATAAAAAAGCTGATTTTTTATATTTTACACGTAAAGTAATATAAATTTTTTTTACACATAAGGTAATATAAAAAAGGTAATTTTTAAAATATTTTTTACACATAAAAGAAATAAAAAAATCAAAAAAATTCAAAAACTAACTTTTAATCAACTTTTCAAATCATCCATAAGAGACTTGTTTAATTTGAACCCAAATTGTGTTGGATCCAAACCCATTTACAAACCCAATTATTTTTAATTTATTTGAGAGACTTAGGTTTCGTTTGGTAATATCATTTTTTAGCCTAAAAGTCAATAAATTACTAAAAAAATAAAAAAATCAACAACTTATACTAAGAAGTCAAAGATTTCATTTTTTCTATACTTTTTGTATATCTTTTCGTAAAAAACTAAAAAGTTATCTCAAATATACTAATTTTTTGTACATCAAATTTTAACAAAAAAGTAAAAAAATTACTAAAAATTTGTTCCCAAACGAGGCCTAAGAACATCCACATTAATCTCACCAAATATAGTTTTTGGTTAAATATAACTTGTAAATTATAAAATTTTCATTCCATCAATCTCAATAAATTATTTTTAAACTAATTTTTGGCCATCCACATTAATATCACCAAATATAGTTTTTGGTTAAATATAACTTGCAAATTATAAAATTTTCATTCCATCAATCTCAATAAATTATTTCTAAACTAATTTTTGGTTAGTTTTGTCACAGTTTGTCGAGGTACTACTCCTTAATTATTTAATAGTTTGGCAAGTTGGTTTGTGGCTAAAATAGCCACAAAAGACAAAATAGGCTATTTTAGCCACAACAAACAAAATTTCATATCCAACCTATAATCATTACACTATTTTCTCACCAAAAAAGTTAAAAAAGTCAAAAAGTTCTTTTCAAACTAAGCTTTTTTAGCCCAGGCTAAAATAGCTAAAAAAGTTAAAAAGTCAATCCACTTCCCAAACGGAGGCTTTATCATTTTTTTTTGGGAGAGATTTGACCTCATTTTTTAAAATTTCTTAAATACTATTCATCGAAAAGATATTTAAAAATTATTTAAATACAAAAAATGAATAAAAATAAATAATTTAATAAAATAAAATTTTAAAATAGAGAAACTATAGAGTGTATATATAAAAAAAGCTAGTGCTAATATAATAGTGCTTTTTGAGTTATAATTTGATTTAAAATTTGTTGAGACTGATGTGAATGCTCTTAAGACTTATTAGGAAAATTCTATTTTTACACATTTACTTATTTCAGTACACATTATTTTTAAGTACACACACTTATTAATTTGATTATTAATTATTTTTTTCAGTCCACACACTAAATGTTTTAATTATACCATTCACTTGTACCATTGTACACACATCACCTCAACTCTCTTTCCACACACTTGTTGAGAATTGTAGACCTAAACCACCATTCATAAAACTCCCTTATCTTCCCCCTTTATTTACACAATCTGTCACTCTACTCTTTTCACTCTCTCTCTCTCTCTCTCACTTTCATCCATGGCCTCTTTGCAAACTCACCCAAATTGTCTTCAATTCTATCATTGTTCTAGCTTTATCTCCGAAATTCCCTATCTTCTGAACCTTAATTTGATTCCTTGTATGCAATGCAATTGCGAAATATTATTTTCTTTTCTCTATTCTGGACGTGGATTAGACAATATATATATATATATATATTGTTTTGTTTATGAAGTTAGGTTTTTGTTTCTAGTCAAGCCCATTTTTTTTTATTAAACTAACTGAGCACTGATTCTCTGTTATTACATGAATTTCAACTTGAACAATTAGTATATATGTACGTGAGAGGGTAATTTATATGGTTAAATTGGGCCGCGCCAAGGGTCAGGCTATGGACCGTAGTAAGCGCTTTGGGTAGCTCGATCTTGGGCCAAGCTGACCCCAAGCCAGTCAGGTGTGTCACTAGGGCCTGGGCCTAACTGTTTAAAGAAAGTCCTGTAACAAACAGAGGTAATATCATTGAAGCGGGCCAAGCTAAGCTTAGCTTGGCAGAACACCATCTTTATCATGGTTCTGTTGCGAGCAGAGTAGAGCCAAGTTAGCTTGGTTAACCGCATCGATGGCGGGGACAAAGGTTTAAATCATCTTACTTGGTTGGCTGTTAATAGAGTGTTATCAGGATCATCATTATCTTTGAGTGTGATTCCTAAGAGGATTCTGTTAAAGAGAATAAGAGTCCTACTAAGAGTATGCTAGGTGGAATCTATAAAAGCTCATGGCAGGACCTATGCACAGGTATTGCAATTTTTACTAAAGAATAAACAGAGCTTTTATGTCTATTGTCAACTTGCTGACTTAGGCATCGGAGAGGTTTTCGGCATACACCCGCTGGCTAGTTCACATTTGTGTTTTCAGGTAGCAAAGCGACGATGTTTGAAGGAGTGCAAACTTGATCAACAGGGTTATACAAGAAGATTATTCTATGCTCGTACAATTGACGCCGTCTGTGGGAAAAGCGACAGAGAACAAACCTTTTAATTGAGTTTTCCTTTAATTAATTCCAATGGTGCATAATAAAGACTTCCCACATTCTACTATTGATGGACAAACCCCGGAAGGGGGCAAGAGGCAGGAGAGTTTGCCGTTTGTCTTGCCCATGGCAGAATTGGACACCCAGCGATGGAACCCACAGAGAGACGCTCGAGAGAGATGGGGCTCAAGTCCTCATTGCTCTTAAAGCCCTGATAGACAGAGATCAATGATGGATCCTTAGGTTCTGGAAGATTATATAAGGAAGCAAGGCGAATTGATAAGAAGAATGACAGCTGACATGGAGACCATGAAACGTCAGATGAAAGGCAAAGGGGTGACGGGAGAAGAGATTCGCGAAGACAAAATGCGTTCTCGCCACTTAGAAGATCGTGACAGGCAAGTCACACCATCACAATATGAAAGCAGAAGCCTCAGGACAAGTAACACACAATCAAGGACTTCCAGGACTCATTGCTTTAGGTTTGAGAGAACGATGACTGAAAGGTCTTACACGGAAGAAAGCAGTTATTGACACTCACATACGCATCAATCAACTTCTCAATACACCGAATTGTCTAGGTCGACGGACCTGCAGACAGTGCTAGAAGAGAGGGCTCGAAAGAGAGAAGACGCCCAGGCATGCGACCCCTAAAGGGTTTCTGCTTTGCAGCGGTTGGCTCCTAGGACACATGGAAGTGTCGAGGTTGGAATGCCAGTACCACGTCTTACTTACGAGCCAGCAGACAAAGTGTTAGCAAGGTTCCAAAGCTCGCTGTTCGTTCCGACAATAGAAAACGCATCATTACCCTTAGGTTTCCACCAACCTAATTCACCATTTATGAGGGGAAGTCAGACCTCTACATGCACCTGAGCCACTTTCGCTAGGTTATGGCCGTATATCGACGGAATGAGGCTCTAATGTGTACCTTATTTCCGTCAAGCTTAGGCGACCCGGGCTTGACTTGGTTTGAGAGGTTGCCAGAAGGCAGAATAGTTTCATGGGCATAACTTGCTAGAAGGCAGCACAACGAGGGCTTCCATTTAATCTCAACGGATCATTGTTTCGTTGCCGATGATTTTTCTGACTTGTTTCATTCTTGCTTCAAAAGGTGGGGTCTATTTCTTAAACTCAATATGAGTTTGGTAGTGTATTTGTGGTGTATTTTAAATATATAGATTCTATTGTTCTTAGATTGATTTTTGATGATTAGTTTGTAAGTTAGGGTTTGATCCAAATGGGATTGTTGAGCTATGGTTTAGCTACAAAAGTTTATTTTCCACTTACAAAGAATGTATATGAGTTTTTAAAAGTGAAAAGCCCTAATTTGAAGAAACCCTAAAATGTTGGTCTTTTTGGAAAATTGTTGGATTATCAAATTAAAATGTAAAATAGGGGTTTCTAAATGTTTTCTTAAAAAAGGTTGTGATTATGAAATTGGAGTTGATGTTTGTTGAAATGAGCTATTTCTTGCATTGAAATGAATTTTCAAAGAGGAAGGGAGTTATGCCCTAAAATGTAATTTTTGAGATTATAAAGAGGACATGGAATAAATATTGAGAAATGTGAAATTGAAATGATGATGGTGGAGTTGGATATGTATTATCACTCCCATTTGCTTTTTTAGAAAAGTGTATCATTAATGGAATTTATTTATCTGTTTAGATATATTTGTTTTGGGCTATTGGTGGAGGATAGTTATGATTGTTGTAGAAATTGCATGTAGATTAGGCAAATTGGACTGTTTATAAATCATGCATATCATGGAGCATACAATGGATTTTGAGGATTTAAACTATACGTTTTGGAAAGAGATTTTGGAAAGTCTTGTGTTATGTTTTAAGGGCATTTGTTTCATTTTGAAAATCATATTTTGGATCACATGTATTGTGTTATTTGGAAAGAGTAAATAAAATGGTAAATATGAGAAATGGTTGTTGTAGAACATTATATGTGGATTAGGTAAATTGAAACTAATATCTTATCGGTTATCATTGAATATGACTGTGTTTTAATACATTGTATATGTATGATGTTTGGGAGAAGAAAGGGGATGTATTCCATGTTTGGGAAGAGAAAGGGGATGGACTCCATTGAATTAAGTTGGCTTGTGTGTCCAGGGTAAAAGTCCTGAAAAACGCGTGCATACATGGGTGCCAATCTCACGGACGAAATTTCTATAAAATAGCAATGGTAGTGCTTGTATAACCTATGTTTGCATGGGTCCCGTTTGATGGTTTCCCGCGGACGAAATTTTTGTGAAAGGTCGTATTGGTTTTGGAGATTTATCCATTTTATTTATTAT